TAAGATAGTTCAATTTCCTGCAACAAACTGGAACTAAGTTAAGGCAAGCTTACTTGCAATACAACATATTTCTAGCATAGTGAACTAAGCATAAAAATTATGATGCTGAAATTCTATATGAACTAATTTTATCACATGAGCATTTATAAGTACGAAAATTGGTTGTTGGTTGTATACAAGGTCAACTCCTTACCTTAAAGGATTGTTGAAGATGAGAAACCAGCATTAAAGTTCAACAATCATTAGTGAAAAAAAAAAAAAAGCCAATTATGTACCGGCCAAATTCTAGCCGAGACAAGGCAATTATATACTGGCCAAATTCTAGCCGAGAGAAGGCAATTAAGTGCTAGCAATATTATGGTAGTACCACTTTATTAATTTGGCTCAAGCATACAACAATGACTTCGTACTAGCCAAAAGAAAATGAAGATTAAGAATTATTCATTTCATCCCATGCATCTTTCACACTCGCACCATGCTTCACTCACGAGTTGTTGATAAACTCACTCTCCAATTCATTTTTCTTTTTAGGTTGACATGACTAGAAGCTATGTGGAATACTTTGAGGATAGCTGGGCAATCGTGAGATGGACTAGAATTTCATTAGACTATTTTGATGGAAGTATAGTCTTATGATACCGATGACGAAGACCTTTTTATTTTGGAATTTACTGTTGCAATCATTGTTCGCTATTGTACCACTAGTTTTAATGTAATTTCTATTGACATATATGTTACCTAAATATGTAAAAGGTAACCCCAAGTGATAAGAAAAAGAAAGATCACTACCCTTTTGTTAAATCCCAGTGAGGATAGGTAGTGAAGTTAGATATGCTCCTTCTCCCGTTTTGATTTTTGAAAGGAAGGAGGTGCTAACTGTTGTAACTTTTTCAAAGAAAAGTTTGTAGTGAACAAGTAATGCAACAAGCTATGGTATAACTTTTCCAGGCAATTCATTTTCCCATTCTCATATTTCTCATCTCTCTCATCTACCCATCAATTAAAAATGGATAGGTATAGTATCTTTAGATCGAAAATTAAATCAATCGACTACATTTCATTAACAATTTTCATACTAATAAGTTTTAGATAATTCAATTGTTTAGAATTTATTTTCCTTCTATACAATTTGTATGCTTGCAATCAAATGTTCTCATTTGGTTAATGGGTGTCTGATTACACGTCATTGTTATCACGTACTTGGTCATATACAGATTTCGTTAAAACAGATATGGTCACAGATAGTCACATGTAACACATGTCCGATCACAGACAATAACAATTTACATAGATTTGATCACAAATAGTCTTTGTTAAACATAACTTGGTGAAATACAATACAAAACACACGGTCAACAGGTCATAGTCATGCTGAAATTTTATAAAATACAAAAATCTATTCAGAAATTATGAATTTTTATGTCATGGGATGAATTATATATTTCAGATCAAGGAAAAATCTTATTTGAATAATCTTTCAATTTACCATATCCAAGAATACACAGTTTGTGAATAAAATGAAATAACTTACAACTGCGAAAAGTATCCTATGTATGTCACTTCACATTGAAATATTGAGTCAATCACCAGATTCTTCGACCACCGCATTTCAACAACTCAAAGTGGCTGAAATTAAAAATTATCGACTGTATTTTGATTTCATCAGTTGGGCAGCGGTGTTTAGAGAATACATTCACCAAATATGTCCTAATTGGTGGTTTAGGAGTGATTTGTGATAATTTAGTAGATAATTTTTTGGAATTAGAGAGGGAAAGAAGGGAGTAGGAGATTGTAATTGGAGAGAAAAAATGAGTTTTAATATATGGAATAATTGATATTGTTAAAGATATGTTAAAAGTATATATTAATATTATCCTTATTTAGATTATATTTTATTTATATATTATTTATATCTTATATAACACCTAATTTCTAATATTTTTGTTTAAGTTTGTTAGTTATGAAAAATGTATTCTTTAAATCTTGTAGTTTTGTATTTGCCCTTTTCCCAAGCTTTAAGAATTAGAAAGCCCAAATAGTAAAGGACCAAACATTACTTAACCCAAGTAATCGATTTTGACCTATTAGTTTTAAAGTTCAATTAGTGAATTAATGGCTTAAGTGCCTTTAAATTTGTCAACTTATTCCTCATTTTGAGTCTTCTAATGATCACTATTTATTTGTGCATTAGGTTTTGATCTCGATCAAGATGACAAATAAAGTGGAGATAAATCAATTTATCAATTAATTTAGCTACTTAAATATTTTGCATTGTATTGTCCAAAATTGACATGCAGCAGTGTCAAGGTAAACCATGCGACAAGAATTGTATTCAGAATGTAAATGTGTTTAGCGTAAAATACAGTCTCTTTATCAATTATGTCCCAATTGATTAAGAGATATGAAATTAACATCAATCCTATTTTACTAATTATCTTCTTTGTCACATGGGCGATTGGTTTAAGGAGTTCTATTTGAAAAACTCTTTCAGATCATTAACTTCACAGCAATTCCTCATTCCACTGCGACCAAGGAATCATAGCATTGATGACTAAGTCCACGAATGTCAGACATAAATTTCTTACTATCTAAGAATGATAAATATTATTTTCTTGATCATCAATAAATTTTATTGTGACTCATGTTGTACTCAGTTAGTGTTGTATTAACATTCATTAAAAGAATCACATCCAACACCATCAAATTTTGATGATTCACATATAAGATTTCATAATGATCTCGTGTCTAACAATAACTTTCGCAGTTGTCATATAGAGATAATCCATTCAGATTGAAATAGTTATCCATGTGAAACATTTATACTAGGTGTTCAATGAACTTGTTCAACTAACAATCATCTATGTAAGCACTCGAGTGTCCTTATACTCTAATCGTTGAGGTTGACTCCTCTTTTTAAAGAGAATTTGAACTAGTGATATTTGCATCTCATTATTTCATTCGGCTAGTAATAGTTTAAGAAAAAATTAATCCAATTATAATTTACGATCACAACCCTTAGTAATTAGTACATCATGACTTGAATTTACATTACAGACTACATTCATTACTTATGCATAATTAGGTAAATGTCATAGCAATAAAATCATTGTACCGTCTCAACAACTAGTGCTAGGAAATAAGACTAACATATGATTCATCACATTTTATTTCTTATAATTTTGATTTTTGGAATGCAAATTAGCAGTATTCATAGAATTTATTTCGACTTAGGAAATCTTATTTAAAATAAAGAATACCCAATAACTTCTTGTGCTTGAACAACTTGCATCATACTACCAAATCTTCAATTTTTGCACGCGCACTCACGCACTCACACACAGAGGTTAATTTTCAAAAATGGTGGTTGTTGTGAGTTGTAATTTGAATTCTAAAATATCAAACTATTCCTCTCCATCCATATAAAGGTTTGCGGGTGAGTCAACCCACATGGAGAATTCAATACCCATTTTCTAACATATTTTCAAGAAAGCTAATTCTCCATCTAAACAACTTGCGCCCAAGAATATCAAGATATATAATTAGAGAGAAACCAAATCGTTAAACATAGTCCAGCTTAACCAATTAAATTTGTGCGCATTGGGAGAATTAAAAGATACTACATTCAAAACCAAGTCACTAAAACAAAGTGAGAGGAGAATTTTATGTTGAAAAAAATAAGTAAATGACTCACTTTTGGCAAGATTTTCGGTGGAACCCGTTGGTCCAATTTGGAACATTAAAGTTGATCCGTATTCTCCTCTATGAGAGCATCAAAACCATATATTTACTTACCAAAATTGATGAATGGACGAATGAGAAATTAGAGCTCAAAGATGACCATTGGAAGATAGTTTATATGGAAAAAATGTGTCTGTCTCACATAAGAAAAATATGAAAGCAAGAACCACTTTAAATATGGTTGCACATTGGAAGGGTATAATCATGTGTAACATAGAGGCTCTTTCCACGTGCACGTGCAAGGAGGGTGCAAATCACGGATCAAAATAGCCTTCGGATCTTGAACTTGTGTGCGTACACGAATGTCGGACCGAACGGAGCAAAAATTGGCCCGTTTAGAGTGTCCACATTTTGCAATTTTTTGCTTTCTCCAATTGACCTTTGAGCTTCCTGAAACTGCCAAAACTCCCAGAAATTAAAGTAACTCCAATGTTTACTGCTATGGAGTTAATAAGCAGATTTAAAATTATATAAAAGGTTGAGTTTCCTGAAATTGCCAAAACTCTCGAAAATTGAAGCAACTCCAGTGTTTATTGCTATGGAGTTAATAGGCAGATTTAAACTTATGTAAAAGGTCATTTTCCCAGCAGCTCCAGTTTCTGTCTGCATCTCGATTTTTGTTCAACGTCGTCATTATGGTGATATTGTTTGAATACTAGTCAATTCGTCGAAACAGTATATGTGGTTCTCAGATTCTACGGATTTTACCGTTGTATCCTGGAAAACAAACGTTCAGATTAGACCTCAAGCACTTACGGTGACGGGGAAAATCTGTTTTAAAGAAATTGTGTTTGCACAGGCCTTAGGTTGAAAGTTAATCTATTATTTATTTATTTTGCGATTACACCTTTACAATTTATTCTTGCAGATTTAATTATTTAGCGTTTATCCGTGTGATTCATATAATTTGCAGTTTTATTATGTTATCTTTCTATTTATATTTATTAAAATTAATCTGCGTTAATTTCTATTTATGTTAAAAACAAAAATTTGAGGAAAAAACAAAAAAATATTCTGTAATTTTGGTACGTGTAAGATCAAAATCGGTATGTGAAAATACAGCATGTAAAAATACGGTATATATGAAAAGGGTAAAGAAAATATATGCAAATACGGTTAAAAGCATATATGGTAGGGAACATATACTGTAGGCAGAATATACGGTAAACTGCATATACGATAAACTATCTGCAAATAAGGTAAGCTGCACATACAATATATTACATATACGGTATGCTCAAAATCGATATCTAAACTGTATATACGGTATGTGATAATCCGATTTCATTAACACTGCTATATTCCAACATTTAAAGATAAGTGACTTGCATAATGTTCATTTGTACACATGGTGACATAGATATATATGATTTGGCTTCTTCTTGATCTTCAGTTTTGAAACATAAAAGCAAAAAAAAATAATAATAGTAAATTAATTATAGTGACCTTGTTGAATGTACAGCAGCACTTGCAAGATGCCGCATTACATCAACTTGAACTCGAAGAGAGACAATGTAATCTAGGGTTTCCTTAATCAAAGAAATTTCATCCATATTTTCTCCCCCTGGTACAAGACTTTTAAGCACTTGCGTTCTGTTCTTCACCAATTTCTTTGCTATGGAGCTGGCTTTAACTGCTTTGGGTCCCAAACCCATTTTTCTAGCTCTAATTTTAGTGATATGGCTTCTTCTCAAAATCTTCTTGCTTGCAATTCTATTGCTGCATGCCATCAATCCATTTGAAGCTTTCTTTTTAATTACTTCTGAATCCGAAAATATTTGTTCAACAAGAATTTTGTTCGTCTCATTTTTCGAAATGTTGGCCATTAGCGTACGACTCCAAAGAGTGCTGGCATCTCTGGTGGAAGCAATGGCCATATCTGCTGATAACTTTATGGCTCTTTTTCTCTCCAAAATGCTCATGTCCTTCTTGACATTACTGTATATATGGAGACCCTTTATCCATTTCTTTACGAATTCTTGTTTGAGGGAAGTCGAATCGCTGGTTCTACACAGAAAAAAGAAGCAGCAGTAATTAAGAACAAGAATCAATTAATAAAAGCTATGAACAAGATTTTAACTTCTTTTCAAACACATATATAAGAATCCAGTTTTGTTATTAAACTTTTCAAACGTTTTCAGTTCTTATAGTTGTATAAACCAAATTTAAGCGAGAAACTTATAAAGGTAAAATGAAAATTACAGCTACGTGCTGCTAGCCAGTTCATACACATTTATGAAATAATACATGAAGACCTGAGTTAAGTCTTGAAAAAATTACTAGCTATGAATACATAATAATGACAAACATAAACGTATATACAATTATCATATACAAATTTCATATCATTGTTGTGTATAGGAAAAGAAAACTTGCATTACCTTGCTTTCATCGAAACTGAATGGAAAAGTTTCCAGGTGTAATTATGTACAGAGAGAAAATTGCAGAAGAATTTAATTTTCACCTTGGATCCAAAGTGGAACAGCCACCAAGAACTACACACACACACACACAGAGTCAGAGCGGAATGAGAAGGAGAATAATGTGCATAAAGCCCATTTATTGCTGAAAGAAGGGAGGTGGTGGGCCAACGAGGGAGAGACATTGCACATGCGGGCACATGGAAGTTGATGGCCCACAATTCAAAACCCTAAACAGAATATTGAAATTTGTGTGGATTATTATAGATGAATTTGTAGTCCCATTGAATTCTTGAAGTTAAGCAAACCTAATATATTATGACAGCACAATATGTATAGGACATCAAATTCCTAACTTGTCAATTTTCACTTCCTCGTGCATCTCGATTCTTTTGGGACCAAAATACATTGAAGAATTTGATAGTGCAAGTCAAAAAGAAGGTACAAAGCAGTAAATGACTGAGGTAAAATAGTCAGCATTTCCAATTTTCACTTTTTTAGTTAATAAATACATAATTAACATACTCAAGGTAATTAGTTCAAAATTTCTATTGTAGTTAAAAGTCCGTCTGTTCATAAATAAGCTCAAGTCGCTTAGAATATGCATGTTTGCTATGTTAAATAGAAAGACGCTAAGAGTACATAAGATTAAGGAAAACACAAGTCAAACAAACACATGCTTGGCGTTTATAGGAATAAACACATTCTTTTCATCTTTTGAGTTAATTGAAAGATAATTTGCAAGCATAAAATAACTAATAACAAAAGCTTTAGTAAAATTTGAGAGTGGGATTATATATGCTAAATAGATAAGTTGTTTTTATAATAAAAAGCAGTTCTTGAATCTTAAGTAGGGTTGTACTAAATAAAAGCAACTTTAGCAGAATATTGTTTTAAAATTTAAATTTAAATTGAAGAGAAAAACAAGTTAAAAATTGTAATTTGTAATAATTTTCAAAAATATATAGCTTCAATATGCTACATACTTCAATATATCAACGTATACTGTTCAATTTACCAAGTTGGATATAACTTTTGGGTAAAACGAGATATACGGGCTTGTATGATATGTAGTAAAATTAAATATAATTGAATATTGTATGATACGTAGTCAAATTAAATATACTTGAGTAGTAGAAGGAAGAAAAATATTAAAATTTTAACTATTATAACGTCTGATTTTGTCGAATATCATGAGGCAAACACGTCCAAAGAGGAAGTAAGGAGACAAAGTTCGATGAATTAATTGTTCAGATTCTTTTCACTTTGGTGCAACCTTGAGTAAGGGGTGCAAAAACAGGCAATTAAATAGGAGTTAACTAAACATGGTTATTGGTTCCTTTAATGAGATTGAAAAATTAAGGAAAATTAGTGATTCTGAAAAGGGAGAATTTGCAGGATCCGGAAAACATGGAGAAGAGGGAGGGAAAATGGGTCCCATAAGAAGAAATATTCTTGGGGCATAGATTTTGGCATTGGCAAGAAAGAGAACTGCTCTCACATGGTCTCCACATGGAGTTTTTAAAGCCATTGGACCTTGTCACTTGTGAGTTATAGCTTTCTCAGCGTATTGATTTTCAATTATTAGACATATCCCCGGCCTGCTTCCTGGCGTACATGAAAAGATTGTGCATTGCCTTTCACTTACCAAAGTAAGAACTGGAGATAGGTTATAATGGAGCAAATTTTTAGTGGACATACTAATTTCAAAGCTTAAAACTTATTTATATTTACTTTTTTAGGTGTGTTTGAATAATTTTAAGTTTCCTATCTTCAACTTAGTATTTGACTTATTAGCTAGTAAATTTAGTTACAATTAAATTTTTTATGCTTAACTGAAAGTGCTCAAAGTCATTTGTAGCACATTATTTCAACGCCTATCATGTAAAAACATGAAAAAAAAAAAAAAAATCTGCGTAATTTTTTCTAAATAGAAAAACGAATAAAGGGAATTTCAATATTCATGATAGGGATATTAGCAGCAGACACAAGTTTTTCAGTGCTTTTTTAAAAATTGAAAATTTAAAAATAAAAATAAATTAAAGATCAAATCTATTACGAGAGATCCCAGCAAATTACGCCATACAATTAGTCCACAGTTCAAACAATAAATTAGAATAGCCAAAAGGCGATGGATCTTGAAGTAATACTGGTAGAAGTTAGTGCCACACCCCATTTCGGCCAAGAGTGGAGTAATATCACATAGAAAGAAGCATTTGGTGCGTGAAAGAATTCGCAGCATTCTTTAACATAAATTATGTGTCAAGATTCTTAATTGAAAGAATAATTTCTCAATCTTTTTGTATGGTTGAATCACATTGCATCTAAGAACCAAATTTTGTAATTTCTTGCACTCCAATGTTTCTGCTCCCGATCACAATGGAAGGTGATTATTATCAACAACCTAAGTGCCTAACTTTTTAAATTTTCATGTCAAATATATGATTCTAGTAATTTTTTCAAATTTGGTGCTATTTCTCTTACGAATTTCACTGTCTTTTTGCTCACTTTTGTCCTAACAATAATTGGAGATTGTATGGAAGTTAAGGGAGGTTATGGAAAGAGATATGTTTGAATTCTAAGTTCAAACCACTCTCCACAATCCTTTTGATGTCTTGTGGATCTAGTAACTCTACAAGAGGAACATCACATCTTGCTATATCCCAAACTCATTTTCCAATATTAATTCAAGTATTTCCAATCTCTCGAATATTTATGGAATATACTTGAACTTCACATTGTATCATTTTATTCACAATTATGTTCTATCTCCTAAATGGATAAACACAATTGTTTCATAACATGATCACTTTGTCTCATCTCAGTACATCCCGAAATTATCTAAGACAATTGCTTATGTGAGTAAGTCAATCTCAACATATTCGACATACTCTAAATGTGCATAAAAATCATTACACGAACATAAAATTGTTCATCTATAGGCATACAAAGCTCAATCAAGAGTTTTTTGATATATTAAATATCATTTACTATGTAATTCTAGATATTTGACATTACCAAGTTTATCTCTAAACATCTTTAGAATATGATGATTACATATCATCATGTGCATAGATATATCGCAGAGATATTTTATTTACTAATGTCTCTTAGGGCATGTTTGATTTATTTTTCCATGGAACAATCCATCCAAACGGTGTTTGATGGCCAAAAACTTCCATGGAATTAGTTTTTTATTTTCCCTCACGTGATGCTATTTTCTTGGTTTTTAAGGAATTCAATTCTCTTTGGTTTTGGTAGAAATTGGGTATTTCAACTTTTTAAAACTTTTTTCAAAATTTTTTTGGGTAATGAAAACAAATTATATCCCTTTAATTGACAATTTTCATAAAAAATAAATCCAAATGAGCACCAAAAGATCCAAAATTTCAACATTTTTCAGGTGAAAAATTATATCAATCAAACACATTTAATTGACAATTATCAGTAAAAACAAGTTCTAGACAATTGGTTTTCTTTCCACCCAAATTCCAATCTTACAATCAAACGGACCCTTATAGAAATACCATCGAGTATTTAGCACCATCGTGATACTTAAGATCCTCAATACATGAGATAGTTATATAATTATCATAGATCTTATATTACCAATATCATAGATGCTCAATACATCTATATCAAACAATTTCTTCAAATGTTAAGATATATAGTATAAGACATATTTCTTATTAAACTATATAGAAATAGTGCACAAGTCTAATAACTATTTGTGCTTGACTAACTCTCAGTCTTAGTGAACATCTACATATCTATTCTAGTCACAAGTTATTCCCTCGATAATAATAAAATATTTGATAGCAAGACCCTTCATGTATTACAATACCCTTTCTAATATAACGTTGATTTGTACTGATTAGATCCGTAGCAAAACAAATGTTGGACAAGTATATATTATAGCATACTTCTAATTTCTAATCGTACTAGATATGATTCTTTGAATATTTCCTTGTGCACTTAATAAGTCTATGGACACGTATGAAAACTTATGTGATTGCCTTTCGATATAGGAGTATTAATAGGATATCAATTTTATAGTTAGAAATATTCAAGAATCTTCATAGTATAGAACTCTTGTGATAGAGAAAAAGACTAGATTAATATTTTAAGACAATATATACAATTTACCAAACCCATGTCTTTCATCTCGAACATTGAGGATAACCATTTCAAAATGTCTCAATACACTCATTCCTATGCTTGGCCAATACAATGTCATCAACATCAAAATTAGAATTTCACATTTAATGAAATATTGTAATAAATTTAAACCATATTAAAATTCAAACACCATTGTCAAGATGACTGCATTACGTCATGAGTGTAACTATGAAGTTACCACAATACTAGAAGCCTTTAATATGAAATCTAAACGTTCATGTGGATCTCTACAATCAATTCTTAATTGAGGATAAAAATTCAGTTTTTAGGTCTATTTAATGTAACTCTAAATTAAAATATACTATCATGGCTAACATCAGCGTACAGAGGTGAATATCACTGTCCTAAAAGAATTATTTAACTCATTACACCCAGTATAATTTTTTTTTCCCAAAAAAAAAATGAACTTTATCTATCATAAACTCATTAGTTTTTTGGATTTAATATAAAATTTTCAATTTTTAATTAAATCATAAAATAATTTATTTTGTATTTAAAATATATTTTTTAAATATAAATACATAAAAAAACTTTAACAATCCAAAAATAATTTATTTTTATATCTATAATCATTGATTTTGACGTTTCGAGTATATCTGTTTTGTCATAATTTAAAAATTATATACTTAAAACCATGTTTGGGATACAAACGTAGTTCTCAGAGAGCGAGGGTGGAAAAATCTATTCATCATCTTCTTCATTTTCTTAAATTTTCCAATTTCAATCCAGAATTTTAGTTCTTTATGTCGTTGGAATGCTAATTGGAACACATTTCTAACTATACCAATTACTGTACGAAAATCGATGAATAAAATGTAGAAATTTTTAATAATTCTACAATTTTAACCAAGATTTAAATTTTCTCTAAAAAAAAGATAAAATCATGTGGAAATATCAAATCCTTTATTATTAATTAGGGATAAAGCTATAGCAATTAGGATATTATTA